ATATATTAAATTTACTATAGATCGGTACCATTTCGATACCAGTTCGATACCAGTTCGGTACTTTTTCGGAACCCTACCTGATACAAATAATCACATGTTTTGACACCAATCAATTACTATATTCAATAAAAGATTTAATGAGTTTAATGACAATACATATCTTTTATGTTTTTTTTTACACCCGGATTATAAAGATAAACTATTTATTATTATTTTTTTGTATTATTATTCTTATATTATTCTCATGTTTTATTTTATAGAAATAGCATTTTCTCGAGGTATTTTTCATGAAATTCTTCTTTCCGCTGATGACATCTTTAAAAAAATGGAAAAAATGACATTAGCTCGTGAAGAATTAATGGCTTAAATGTATGCTTATTGCAAAAGACACTTACCATTTGATATTTCTTTCTGAGATAATGAATTGCTACAACTTTGGTAGTCTTCTATTGAAGATTGTTTTGCCAAAGGGAAGAATTATATATGTTAACTTGCAATAAAGTTTTTTTCAATTACTCCTCATGCAGTGGTGTATGAAAGAATTTGATCAATGTTTAGCTAGTATTATGAAAAATGCCAAACTTGACTTGTTCTACACAAACTCAAAAGTATGTAAAAATTAGCTATATTTTATATTTCTAATGCTAAAAAAGAATTACCATATTATGGTATTAACAAAACTTCCAGCAAATTATAAAAAATAATTAATAAAAGCAAAGTGTTTGAAGATAATAATAAAGAAGAAGATATTATATCTGTATCTAAAGATAATACTGAAAATGATATTAATAAAAACAAGATGGAAGAAGAGAAAAATCTTATAATAAAAGGATAAGTAATTTTAGATGTAAAAGAATTTGGTTCTGATTTTGGTAAAGAATCTAGTAAAGGTAGCATTCAAGAACTCAATGAAAATGAAGAGATAGAAATTCAAATAATTATTGAAAATATGGATGAGAACTGGAATTGGGAAGCAGCTGCAAATAGATATATTGACAACTAGATTTTTTTATAATGACATAAATATTTAATAAATTTATTGATTATAGAACCAATCGAAAATTTGATAAATTATTTAATAAAAAGGACTTTTTTGTTATTTGGATATTATGGAAAATTTAGGATATTATAAAATTTCAGATTTTTTTTTTTTCCTAAATTTATTTAGAACTATTTCAGACTTAGATTTAGACTAAATATTTCAGTTTAGCCTATATTATTACCAGATACTATATTAATTCTATTTAATTGCCTTCATATGGGGTTGAACTAGTATTTTGTAATATGACCTGTAAAGTGTTAACTATTATATTATAGATCCACAAGTCATCTATTAAATATTATAACAAGTTGATTATGTCTTTTTCAATATTTCAAGAATTGGTAAATTTTGTAGCTGTATATCCTTAAAATATGTTAATAAATAAATCAAAAAATAAGTTATAAAAATAAACATATATGTATGTATCGTATATCATATAATCAAATGTAACTAATTTTATATTTGTATCTACTGGTATTGCTTATATTATGTGATTAATTTCAGATTTTGTCAATGTCACCTATATTGCATTTTTACCTAAACTTTTTATTTAAGTTCTAAAAAATTGATTTATTCAAATATTTTTCCAATAAATTCTATTTTACAATTACATGTAATAGAATTTATAAAATTATTAACATAAGAAAACAAACAAATAATTGATTGTTTCAAAGAAAATTATAAAAGCTAACATATCAAAAAGAATAATATATTGTATATGCTACTATAATTTTTAAAATGAAAAAAAAATCTCTCTAGTAATTTTATCATTTCTATTTTTCAAATAAAAAACCCTTTTAAGCAATTTCTTTTTTCTCTTGCTCTCTTTCATTAACTGGTTTTGCGCATCAAGAAAAGAATTATGGAGAGGATAGTTTGAGAGGTCATATTGCAAATCATATATATCCATTAAAAGTAATTTTAACAATAAGTTCTTCATATATTCAGTAATTCTTTGATATAACCTATTAAACATAACTAAAACTCTGAGAGTATGTTCTAGGTATCTAAAAAACCTGAGTTAGTGATGAGAATCTTGAATAATATTTTCAGATATTTAAAAAGAATTATGTTGTAAGAAATTCTTCAAATGCTATAATTTCATTTTTTCTCACTTTTCCAACATTGTTATATTTAAATAAAAGAAAGTGTTTCTTGTAATTACCAAAAATAATAGGGTTGTTATCATTTATGGTCTTGCAAATGAATAAGAGAAGAATAAGTGTAAATATGGAAAATTATATCACTATTTATATACTCGATTCATCACAACATAAAGACTAAGCCAATAAAGATATTCACTAAATTATTGCCCATCGGATTACAAGGTATTTCTATTTTCCTTGTCTATTACTCTAGTGACAATGTAACTTCAGGTATATATGAATAACAAATTATTTAGTGAAATATAAAACATGTCTCACCTAAGAAGAGTGATATCCAAATTCATCGACTTTAGTATATTGAAAATATACAACTTATATTGAAAGTTCCTTTTTTCTGTTACTATATTGATAAATGATAAAATAATAAAATTGAAGAAAAACAAAGTTTTTATATGGCAATGAGGAAGACATATAACTTGATAGTGTATTACATATTATTGTAATTATTAAAGTAAATAGTAAAATTATCAAACCTTATGTAAGTTTTAGATATGTGATATACCTGTATGTATAAAAAGTTTATTGTAAAATCATTTGAAAAAGTGAAAAACGTATGTCAATTACTAACTTTTTAGATATCCAACCAAATTTAACAAAACACATACCATTCGAAAGCTCTCATCGCGGGGAAGCGAATGGGATAAAATCGCAAAATTCTAATCACAGGCTACTGAGTTATAATTATTTTTAATAATTTATAAAAATAACCATAACTCAGTAACCTGTGATTAGAATTTTGCGATTTTATCTCCATTCGCTTCCTCGCGATGAGAGCTTTCGAATGGTATGTGTTTCGTTAAATTTGGTTGGATATCTAAAAAGTTGGTAATTGACATACGTTTTTCACTTTTTCAGATGATTTTACAATAAACTTTTTATACATATGCACGATGTCGATCATCCGTCGGATTGTGCATACAGTTTCAGTTCGGTTTTTCATGATCCCTAACTCTTGCTATATGCGATATTTTTTTGAATCCATGATTCAAGAGTATTATTTGTTCTAAAAAGCAGATAAAACATTATATAGAATATTTTCTTGTAAGTAATTAATTAAAATATGATAATTTTTTTAATATAATCTAATATATTTATTAAATAGAGAGATTTTAATGATAATGATTCCTTCCTAAATTCTGTCAAAGAAATTTTAAATAATAAGTTAGAAAGTAGATTAAATTAGAAGTAATTGCAAGAAACATTAGAACAAGAATAAGAAGAAACTAAATCAAATAAAATGCAGCAAGACAATTCAATAATATTTTTACAAGAAGAACAAGATGTATTATTTGATGTTGATGAAAATAATAGAGATTAAATTAGAAATAAATGTAAAAATGTAAAATCAAATTAGTTTGCTATAATAAAAACAAACTATTTAATTTTAATTATTATATATAATACAAGAATTATGATATATATTAAAACTATAAATATAAAAAAAAAACTCTCTTCTGATCGTATCCGTTTTGCTAAAAATTTTTTTTTATAGTAATTTTAAGCAAGAAAAAATGTTTAACACTCTTTACCGCAAGTGAGCTCCAGCTCAAGAACTCAAAAACTTTCAAGACAGCTGGTGCAGTGGGATGGAACCTCTGGTTGAAGTCTATTCAAGTTTGGGAGTCTTGCTTATCCTTCGGTTGCATGAGGAAAGGCCCATGGCAGTTCTCTTCTCTTTTGTTCTCTT